ATGTTATATGTTATATGTTATATGTTATATGTTATATGTTATATGTTATATGTTATATGTTATATGTTGCATGTTGCATGTTGCATGTTGCATGTTGCATGTTGTACGTTGTACGTTGTACGTTGTACGTTGTACGTTGTATGTATATATGTTGTATGTTGTATGTTGCATGTTGCATGTTGTATGTTGCATGTTGTATGTTGCATGTATATGTACTACGTTGCATCTCTCATCCTTCGTCATTTTCTCTCTCCCGCGGGCAGGTGTGACAACGTTCCTTACGATCTACACTCAGAGCTCGGGTGTTCGCGTGTCGTTGCCGCCCGTCTCTTACACCAAGGCCATCGACATCTGGTTCAACGTTCACACCATCTACATCTTTCTCACGCTCGCCGAGTTCGCTATGGTCAACTACATATCGCGCCACTACGAAAGCAGTAGCGGCATCGCTCCACCACCGCAGCTCACGACCGAACCGAACAAATATGCACATACGCAGTCTAAACCTCAGGTATGTATGTATGGACAACCCAACACTCCCAGTGGCGGATCCAGGGGGGCACAGAGGGCAGACGCCCCCCTAAAAATTTTCGGGCAAGGGTATTTTACCCTAACACCCTCCCCCCTCGGGCGCTTCGTGTCATTGAGCTCGCATGATTCGCCCCCCCCCTCCCCTAGAATTCACTTCTGGATCCGCCACGGACTCCCGTCTTAGGTTTACTCTGAGATAAACCAACTCTCACACCTACACAGACGCGGTTAAAAGAATAAAAAATCGGCAATGTTGTTGATTATTAGAATATAGTATAATATAAATAACAATATCGACAACGACACACCACCTAAATCGCAGGCCTGCCACGAACGTCATACGAATTAAACTCACGATCACTTGCGCGCATGCGCAATCTTACAGACCGAATTCGGGTTCGATGCCATCAGTGCGTCGGTGCAGACGACAGATGACGTCACAACGACGGGCGCGCAGCGGCGGGATCAGTCTAATGACGACGACGAGACGACGAAGGTGGTGGCGCCGCGATCGCTGCGTCACGTGTGGCGTCGAACCGTCAGCGTCGTCATCGAGGGCCGACGGAAAGCAAAGACGATCGATCTGGTGTCGCGAGTGCTATTTCCCGTCAGCTATCTGATCTTTCTCACCATCTACTCGATTTGCTACGCACTGCCAGAGTAAATGACAGCTGGTCTCAAATGTTTTTTTATTACGCATTATCTTCTGTGTTTACGATTTATTTATTTATTTATTTATTTATTCATTCATTTATTTATTCATTCATTTATTTATTTATATAGATGGTCCCACTAATGGACAGGACACGTTGTATAAGATGACGGACGTCTCTGCTGCCCACAGCTCAGACTGCAACGCTGACTTCTACCTACATGATTCTATTCACGTAGACCGTTTCTAATTATAACGTAAGAAACAGGGAAGCAGTCTGTGGCTCGCAACGCAACCATGAACGCAAAGAAAAAACTCATATATAATAAGTCATCGTACCATGGAATAAAATCTCATTTACAACTCAATAATTCAAATTATATTTTTTAATCTTAAAAGTGCCAATAATATTGACGCATTTAATACTTGCAAGTAGTTAGTCAGAAGACAATTAGTCTACGTCTACGATATTCACGATTTATTTCGCGCTTTACGATTTCACTGAAATTTAGTTTTACAGGGTTATAAAATGTAATCTTGCATGCCTTTGACTTCACACTATGAGGCAATATCATCTACAACCTGGTTACACTATTAACTAATTTGATAGCGTATGTCATACCCTGTTCTACGGAAGTGCACCATGTAACTATACTTGCTGTGTGAGGGTGCGCACAGACTGTAGGGTAGACGGCACATCGATTTCTAACAATTCACCTATATATGTATGTATATATGTATGTATATATGTATGTATGTATGTATGTATGTATGTAATATATGTATGTACATAGACTGCGCTGATCATAAATTTATTATTTTATTATTATTATTATTATATATTATTATTTTATTAGCACAGTTCGCCGCTGTCATAAAAGTCGTTTCATAATGGAATTATGTGTGAGCAGATAGTGTGTAAATGTGTATTTTCTATATGCTGAGTACTGTACACCAGATTACGTCACCGTAAATAGCCAAAAAATAATAATTCCATTTTTTTACAAAATATAAGTGATTCTGTTCACTTTTTATGGTTAAATTGCTGCATTATACTTCTTATTTTACTATATTGTTCGATGTGAACATACACTTGTGACTCATACATAGCCCATAGCAAGCAATTAATGTTATGAACACTAATGTCAAATCGTCCAGGTTTTTTGGGATTTTTAACTAGTTGAGAAACAATCAGGTAAGAATTTGACGATACGTTTTGTCCCGTTAGTTCTTACTTTTAATGTAAAAAAATGGCAACAACAATTTTACAAATTTTACCATAGAAAATTCGTGACGTAGTCACTTTAACGCTACAGAGATGTGCCAAGCGCCCAGAGCCGTATATAGAGACTCTATACGATACGATACGACTCTCTCTCTCTCTCTAATATACGGTTCTGCCAGAGCCTGGATTGGCGCGCCCAAGAACGGGGGTGTCGACACATGTTAACCACGGATACCTTACATGCACTGAACATGTATTTCAAGATTTTAAGACATTTGTGTGCATGCATGTGGGCACTGCATGTGCGTTAACCATGGATACCTTGGAGTGTGTGGGAGTGGGGATTCACTCTGAGCTTATAGAGATGTAATGGAGTGTGAGAGAGTGAGGCGGAGATTCCTACGACAGACATCTCGCGGTGTTGTGTGAGCGAGCGAAGTGAGAGTGGTGCTAACTGATGAGGAGAGGTGCAGGGGAAGGTACATTCTGCGGACACGGTGGTAGCCGAACTCTCAGCTTTGAAGATAAAGCATGATATCAGAGGCTCAGCTGTAAATTTGCGCTGCAGGCGACAGAGATTAGTATCCGATCAATAGTTAGATATATCATATAGTACATACTATTATATATTACTATACATGAATTTATGGAAAAATACAGTGTTCTAGGCTGCTATGT